TGTTCAGTCAGTTTGAAATATAGTGGATTATTCCTTCTCTGTACTTTACCAAAAAAGTGGAACTGACATTTTAAGCCTTCCTGAAACTGGAAATACATGAAATGCACAGAAGCTGAGATGTGCACAAGGCATTAATGAAGGCAAAGTGGGTTATGATCTTTGCACATAATTCCCTTGGAAGCTTGCAACTGAGTGTCAAGTGTGTGGCTTGGCCCCTGAGGATCTCTTAGAAGTTTAGTGGCTCCAGTTTCCTCTCCTGAGGCTTTCACTCTGACTCTGGGTACTCACCAAAAGAACCGGGTGTTTCTTGGGTATGTTCTAAAAAACAAACTACAGTGGACAGGCTTCAAGCTGGAGAATCTGCGATTGTGCTCACAGAGAAGTGACAAACATCAAGACAGGATGTCCTCTTTCCTCCTATTTGAAAGAAATACACTTTAAAAATAAACAGTCTTTGGGACTGTGCATGGGATGCAAGCAGGACAGTGTTCTCAAGGATGCTGCAAACAGCAGCTACTTTAAACCAGCATTAACACAAATTAAGAAAATTTATCACTACTTTTTGGGCTTCAGCAAAAACGATGAGCACAAATGGGCTGAGGGTTTCCCTAGCCAGGACCTTTCTTTCCACTTCTCTTCAGCAGGGTTTATGCCTTTACAAGCTAAAACACATGGCTATGTCACCTTCTCTTACTAGCTACATGTCACAGCATCCTGCCCACATTCCCTCTGGGCTCCCAGCATCACCTCATGCCAGAAGCATTTATCTCTTGGAGGCAAGGCAGAGAAGCTTGAGAAACTGAGCCCTGCCTGCTCCTAGGGATTCAGGCAGAGGTTGGTACCCATCACTGAAGAGCTCTTGTGGGCTAGCTAGAGGCTGCCACAACTTGCCATTCAAGACCCTCCTGCAGGTTTTGAGCATGGCTTCACTGGTGGAAGCACCCAGGAAGGTCTCCTGACTTTGATGTGAAGTGCTGCAAGAGCTTGTCCTATCCTGGCAAAACAAAGAACTTGCTGCTGTGCATGCCTTTGATCTGGCTCTAGTCTGGGGACTTCTTTGAAAATAATTGTGATTAAAGAAAGGGTGCTAATTAAATTCTTCCCCTAGCAGGATTCCCTGATAATGTTCCTACTGGAGTAATGCAGTGGCTCCAGGGCTACACTTGTAGGTGTTGTGCAAGTGGAAAGCAGAGCTGAGGGTTATATTACTCAGATGATAACTACTCTTTCCTCTGTATATACTTGGTTTGGCCTTATAATAAATTCCTGTCTGGACAGAACAATTATTTTCCCTTTTTCCTGCTTGGGAATTCTGCATTTAGTCAGTGCCACTTTCTTCTCAAGATCGATTTAGTGTGTAGTGTCCAGTCTGAAGCAATCATACTGATTTGTGCTGCACGTCTGCATTCAAGGGTTTGCTCTTTGAGAGAGATGATGCTCCTCAGGAGCCACTGCCAGAATCACCTATGAGGGACTAGCCTGAGGTCCTCCTTGTATTCCTTAGCCCTGTGTTCCCTGGTACAGAGGCCTTATAGCTCCTTGCATTTGTGTATCTTAATTAAACAGCTTGAAGCTGATGCCAACATTAGCTACTCAATTCTAGAAAGTCCAAATGTCAGCACAGGAGGAGGCAAGTGTGTGACAATGTGGCAGTTCTAGTAAAGGGCATAGATTTGAATTTCTGAGTGGGTTGTGTAGTGTGAGAAGGGGAAATGCCTTGAACCTTGGTGTGTTCTGAAATACCCAAACATTGTGTTTCTGCCCAAGAAGCAATAACTGGGATTTGAGTTACTGCTTCTCTGCAACCTACTCAATGCTGTTCCCAGTTACCCTCCCTCAGAAGGCAGGTAGGGTGTCTGACCACAGCAGGCTTGAAGCTCAGCTCAATACAACTGTTCTAAACATTTTTGACTCCTAGCCAGAGTGGGAAGTACTGAAAAGCAGATGTACATGACTGGTAATCTGGATCTGGATCTCTCTGCTCATAATTGACCTAACTGGGGTGGGCATATATCAAAAGTTGTTTTTAAAAAAACTCAAAACCCTATGATTTGCAAAGATTAAAAATGTGATACATTTTTTGCATGCCTCTGTCAAAAGCCTCTATAACTTGCTACAGTAGGGAACATCTGTGTCTAATTAATGAAACTCAGCCTTCATAGTGAGCGATTAAAGTGAACTAAACAGTGTTGTCAGTCATGCATTTGTGGACTATAAATTAATCAGAAATCCTTCTTCCCCCGCTCAGATCTGTCTTGCATTTCCTCTCCCTTGTTGGGTTTTTTTCCTGGTCTCAGAGCAGGTCTTGAATCTTTTTGGTCTCCCAAACCATAATAAATGAACAATTCCTCCACTGCTGTGACCTTTCAGGCATATTTCTGGAGTGCACAAATGCCCCCCTGCCTGGGCTCAGGGGTGCAGGGTACCTGTGGGGATTCAGCTCAGTCTTACAGCCAAGTGGTGGCCACATGGCTCGTAGGAGAACATGAGGCATTTGAGTTTGAATCTGAGACTCCTTGGATGTGCAGAGAGCCTGAGAGTTATTTCCCTCTACATGATGCCAGATTCAAGTGAAAATGCAGACAAGAAAGGGAGTGTATCCTAAGCAGGGGCGAGGGATTTATGGGGGATGCACTTACCCATTCAGCACTTTGGTGATTAATCCCAGAAGATCCACTGAACTGGTGGCTGCTGCTTTTGGGTGTTAAAGTCTTCTGATAGTAGAGGTGGGGCTGTGAATGCCTCCAAGCATTCAGTATCTGAAAAAGGCAACTAGATCAGTTCACATATTTCTCAAAATAAAATCTCAACCCTCAGCCATAGCTAAATTAAGGAGGTTTGGGCCAATCTGTAATCCTCCCACATCCCGGAGTGCTGCCCTGCAATAGCAACAGTTCTGGTGCACATTCTGGCTCCAAAACTAGCTACATATTTGAGCTGAAAAGTTAGGCATTATTGACTGTTTCTTCCTATACCAAGGCATTATTCAAAAGTGAGCTCAAAAGACTAGCAGGGGACAAAGACAAGTCTGCACTGATTTTCTGGGACAGAGGGAAGGAACACGAGGGAAATCATAGAAAAGCCCCCTTTGCTTCTTCCAAGTGTAGGAGCAAACTTCTCCCTATGGGAAGAGCAGCATATTCACTGGAAACCAGCTTGTTTTCAGTAAAATCCAAGTGACAACAATAGTGTTGGTAATTTGCAAATTCTGATGTGAATTAGCACATGGATCTGAATGTTAGGGTCTATATCCTATTAAATTGATTAAACTAATATTATTTTTTGTATTACATTCTGTGGGACTCCTAAGGCATCAGACAGAGAAGAGTATGTTTTGGCACATGAATGTGGTTTCTTTTCCACTTGAGATTTCAAGCCATAGTGCAGCCCATATGCCTTAAATAAGAAGCCTATAGTTTATTCTACTATAATTAACATAAGATTTGATTTAAATGACACTTTTAAAAGTCAAAGGTTGGATTTCTAGTTGAATACAGAAGGCAATTTCCACCCACATTGCCGTTTTGGTCCTTTTTTTATTGCCATCTTGTCATTCACCCTAAAATCACTCAGAATATAGAAAGCACCTGCTGGAAAACAATGCTCATGCCTTGCAGAACAGGTCTGCCTTTTTGTTTTCGTTTAAGGGTTTCTAACATTTGGCATTGCATATTTTTTTTCCTTTCCATTTTAATGAGCCAAGGGGAGAGACTAGGAGGAAAAAAAAAAAATCTGGAGTATTTTGATCTTTGTGGTTTTATATGGACTTCATAAGCTTTGTTTGTTCTACTGCCAAGCTTCTTTTGTGTTTAAACAGATAACAGACCAAGATGACTAATCATTTCCATTAAAAAAAACCCACCAAACCCAAAACAGTCCCTTTCTTTTCTAATCAATGCTTGTAAACTCTGCTCCTAGACAGGGCTTGTAACCCAACTACTTCTGACTTATATTTTTCCCCATTTCAAAAACAACCACCCCATGCACAGACAGGGCTCTCCAGATTTAGGGAAGAACCTTGAAAAAAGGCTCAAATAATGTTTTTGGAAGAACGGGGTTGTAAATATGACATGTGGAAACCGCCTCCTGTACCTTTAGAAGCAGCAGCATGGTAGTTAGCACCACCACTTACGGACTTCCTTCCTCTGTGGGTTCTGCAGGTTATTTATGGAGAAAGAAAAAATAGCAAATTTCACATGGGACTGTGGCTGTGTTATGTAAAAAGGCTGTTGATGACTTTTACTAGTGAGAGCAGATATCTGGTATCACTTTTTTGAGAGGCTTTGCATTTGAAGAGGAGACAATTTACCCAATCAAACCCACATAGACTTTACTGCCTATTGAAATTAATAAGGCTGAATGTCTTTGAAGCAGGCAATGAGTTGGATGGAAGAATCATGGGCAATCATCTATGCAAGGCTGGGTTTCTTTACATTAAAAAAAATGTTTTTGTAATGAAAGTCACAGTTCAAGATGCTGTGGTGAGACAGTTTTTCTTTAGCTTTTTAAGGATTTTATTGCACAATCAGCTGTTTAGGACAACACAGTTGTGTGGTCAGGAAGTTATAGGTTAGCCAACAGCACCAATGGATGCTACTATGATCAGCAAACAGTTAGAATTCTATGAATTACTCATCTGGGTTATATTTCTGAAGAGGATGATAATTCCAGATACACTTCCATAGTCTCTAAGACTGGCTGTTCCTATTAGGCAGTTTAATGCTCCAAATGGGAAAGAAGATAGGCTTGAAGAAGCTAGATGAATTCCCCTTTCCTGAGGCTATCTTATAGCAGTTCCTCAAGGGAAGAGGGAGTAGGTCCAGCAGAATGTGTCCTGTATATCATCTCTGGCAAGATGTAAGCTTGCTTGTTTTATTTCCCAGGTATATTATTCCTGTGGTGCAGTGGTGGAATCGATGGAAAGAGGCTTGATTTTATCACCAGGTTTTCCAAACAACTACTACCCAGGGACACACTGTGTTTGGCAATTTTTCATCCCCATGAGAACCCATCTTATCTTGGAAATTTTTGACTTTGACATTTTTGAGAGCTCTAGAGAAACTCCAACCCCCTGGGACACATTTTCAGCCCCTGCTAAAATGGGAAATAAAGACATGCCTTCTTTTGAGGAAAACTTGGACTTTGCTCTCCATAGTACAAAACCCTCTCTCCAGACCTGGATGGCAAAGGGAGCTCAGAATCCAAGCAGCACAGGAGATCAGTCAAAGGACCTTGCTGGTCATCTGGATGAACTTCCAGGAGCTGTCTCAAAAAAAGATGAAGCCAAACAAGCATCTGAAGAAAACCAATCAAAACAGATGAAGGAAGCCAAAACAGTTATCAAGGCTCAACCAGAAGAACTGTCATTCCCTGTGGTTGATAGTGCCACAATGAGAAAGCAAAATACCAGTGGCCTGGAAAGAGAAGAAGATTTAGAAGATAAGATCTTGCTTGCCCACCTAGCTGCTACTGAGAGAGATGAAGTTACAGTAGAGAGCAGGACTCTTCCCACAACAGCATTGTCCATGGAAGTTTCCTCCAGCCCACAGTCAGCAGTGGACATCTGTCCCCATGATGTATTATATGTTTCTGATCTCATCACATTTTCCTCTCGCTTCTGTGGACCAAATTCACCTTTAAACAAGACTATGGTCTTTGGTTCATCTCTGGAAATGGTTGAGGTTATCATGGAGCTGATCACCACCACAGACCGGGGCCGAGGCTTTGCAATGCTCTTTGAATACAAGAACATCACGGACCCTAATGCTGTAGATGCTGTGAGGCAGGAGAGGAAGGAAAACATGGTGATGCTGGCAGTTCTGACAGGCATCATTGTCTTTGCACTTGCCTTGCTCTCTGCCTTCTGCATTGCTTGCAGGTAAGATGATGCACATCTGAGCCTCTAAAGTGATATCCCTAGACCAGAAAAAAAGTTGTGGTTCCTATCCTCTGCTAATACTTGCTGTCCTTTAAATGTAGGGAAGTGTGTGAGTACAGAGGAGATCACTGCTGGTCACTATCCTGCTTTGAGCTCCTCAGTTTTCTTTCATAGTTCTACAGCTCCTGTGCCTCCAATTTTATTCTCTTTTTCCTATGGAAATACCTGAAGGGTGAAGGCTTTCTTGGGCATAATTTTGTTTCAATTGGTAGTGGTGCCTTTTAGCCCTAGTTTCAGGACACCAACCAGCCAAGGGACAAATGCAGAACAGAAAGACCATCCTTCCCCAAGTCTCCCAAGCAAGCTGAGCTGACATTCACTGTGCCTTTTCACAGATTCCACAGTCTGACTCTAACTATCACTGACACTCTGCAGAAAAGTAAACAACAACAACAACAGTATTACCACTTAAGATAGTATTTCCCAGTCTGTAGCATGTTTTATCCAAGGGGCTGCACAGACATTTTAATTCCAGTGCACCTCATGCATTAAGCAGTCATCTGCACATCCTCTGGACTGCTTGGGAAGAGCCAAGAGCTGTGCTGCAGTACCTGTGACTGTCCCCAAATGTCATCTGAAATGACACGGTCAAAGGAGCTGATGGTCAGGCTGGGTTGCTGGTTTCCAGGTCCCGATACTAACTAGTTAAATGGCCTAAACCATCCACTGACAAAAGCATACTTCTCCACTCAATTGCTTTTATTTTCTGTATTTCTTTTCTCTGTATCTATCAGGAGAAAGCTTCTCCACCCCCAGCATATGTTTGCATTTTTCTTACTAGCTCCCTAGTGAAAACATTTTTGTAGAAACAGTGATTTGTTGAGGTTTTTTTTCCTTCAAAAAATTCAAAGCAGAGCCCAAGCTCCCCAGGTTTTTTGTCAAAACAAACATTATTTTGCAAATGTTTTGACTTCAATGAAAACATCAGGTAAACTGAAACAAATACTGTTCCTTGCAGGGCTCCACTGTGGTGCCTGCTGTTACAGCATTCGTTTCCCAGTGGTAGCAGGCAAGGGTTTTTCTCTTCCTGCATTCCCTGCTTCATCTATTGTGCATCCTCCAACCCAAAAGGTCTCAGGATCACTCAACCACTCCTGGTCACCGAGGTTTGACGGACGAACATTGTCCTTTTGGAGGCTGCATTTCTAACTCTTGCTGAGTAAGTGCAAGATACAGGCCATCATACTAGGTACAGGAGAATGTGGGCAAAGTTGTGAAGCTTGAATGTAATCTCTCTTGCTGTATAAAGGCATTCCT